CTGCTCAACATTTGGCAATAAAACCCATTCTGATTCTGATTCTGATTCTGATAACATGTTGCTCTGAGACCTAATGTTACACACTACAGACTCAGACAGCTGATGTCAGACCTCCAACTAGAGCATATATTGAATTCAAATCAAATTCAAATTTTATTTGTCACACACTTAAGGGAGCGGAAGCGCTTCCCAGACCTCAACAGTGGAAAGAGTCCATTGTTGGGATGGGAAAGGTCCATCATAATCTTCCCGGCTTTAGTCTTGCACCGCTTGGTTCAGATGAACAGCAGGTCAGGGAGCTCTGATCGAATGATGCATTCGGCCGAGCGTACCACTCTTTGCAGATCTTGTCTGTCCTGCTTGGTGCTGTTACCAAACCAGGTGCAGTTTCCCTTCAGGACGCTCTCGATGGTGCAGGAATAAAAGTTCTTGAGCACCCTCAGTGGCAGATGGAAATCTCTAAGCCTTCTGAGGAAGAAGAGACACTGTCGGGTTTTCTTAACCAGGGTTCTAATGTGGCAGGACCATGACAGGTCCTGAGTGATGTGGACATCCAGGTACCGGAAACTGTCCACTCTCTCCGCTGGCATGCCATTGATGATCAGGGGCTCATAATTCCTCACCTGCTTTTTAGTGAAGTCCACGATCAGCTCCTTAGTCTTGCTGACATTTAGGAGGAGGTTGTTCTCCTGGCACCAGGTCTCCAGGTTCCTAATCTCCTATAGGCCTTCATGAAGGACACACACACACACGCACCGTTTTGAACCTTGTAAAGGATCTGAGTTTTACAGAGGGTCAGTTTAAATTGTCATATCTTCCTTCTGAAGTGACATAGGGCTTTCTACTTATTTCATTTAAAAGGAAACAAATGAACAATGTAACGGAAGGAGCTTTCCTAGTGGGTCCACTTAAGCGGTAAACATGTAAATAAAACTGTCTGTTGTTTGTCGTGTCTGCAGATTAAGTATAAATTCTCCATTCTTCTGTCTCTAATCATAAGCACAAAGACATGTTACAGACACATTTTGGGGTCTGTAAAGGGGAAAATCCATCCTTAAACACAACATTTCTTGTCATATTGCATGGTATGTAACATGATGTTTAAGAAAGTTTTTTTTATTAGAGGTGATTAAGAACATACATATGGCCTCAGTGGTCTGGAAATCATTCCCTCCGTCTAATTTACTAGTTTTAAGTAAACAAATAACTTCAAGTAAAGTAAGTTTCAAATTTCAAGTAAAAAGGAAAAATGTTTTTTTTTAAATTTTATTTATTAAACCCAGTGTGTCCTTTTGCGTGTCCCTAATTACAGAATATAACAATTATGCAACAAATATATTGTGTATTTGATATGTAGGTTTACTTAAGTCAGTCCGTCTGTTTATTGTTGTTTAGATTGGATCTTACAAATATATATTATATCCTAACAAAAACACTGTTAATTTTGATTATTCAGAGACATGTTTGGTGAGAGAAATCTTTGTAAAACTATATTTTCTTGAAAATCGTTGGAGCCACTGAAGAGTTGCATTTTTATTTTAACTATTTTTAAGTTGTTTTTATTAATACAACTTAAAATCCTTAAAATTAAGAGAAGCTGAACGTTTATCCACGTCATCACGGAAAACGCCATTTCCCAGATATCTCCGGTGTGGTTACGTCAGTTATGTGCGCCCGTAACTCTGTTTTGCTCCTCTGACGCGCATGACACCGAACCAACGTGGCTTTTGCTTGAGAATAAGTTTATTTCTTTTAGTTACACGTTCATTAAATAAAAAGGTTTCATGCAAACAGCGGGAAGAGTTCCTCTGACACGTAAATCAACTCTTTTGCTGCCTGAGAAACAAACTCGTGAGTAGTTCAGACATCATATAGGACTATAGGTTAGCTCTCTGATAGCAAAGAAGTGCGCTCGAAAGAGTTTTTCATCTCCAGTAGCGGTTTACAAAGGTGTGCGTTTTTCTAAAAGGACACACAGAAACATGTTTAACGAGGATGAAGACTGGAATGATGAAGAAGAGGGTCAGATCTTGAGTAAACCTGCCCTCAGTAACACCAAGAAGACAAGCAGTGGCATCAATGTGAAGGTACGTGTTTCTTTTGCGCTTACGGAAAACTTTTTATTCTCGCAAAGCATTACTATGTTTCTACTTATGGTAGTCGCTACTCGTTATATATATATATTATTATATATTATATTATATAAATATATTATTCAACCTGCTGTGATCCTCTGATCAGCCCAGGGTTGTGGGTAAAAGCAGCCTGATGCGGACACTGAAGACTCTGGGGTCAGTACCAGAGTGGAAGAGCGACAACCATAAACAGGACAGTGATGAAGACTCCGAAGAAGCTCCATCAAACATTAGGACAAAGAAGAAGAGAAGAAAAAAGAGAAAACTTGCAGAAAAAACAGAGGAGCAGCAAGAAAACACAGACCAGATCTTAAAGGAGGAGAAACCTGCACCAAAAAAGAGGAAGAAAAACAATAAAGCTGGTGAGTAATTAGCTGGTTATAAGCTTAGAAATCTGACACAGTGGTTTGCCACTTTAGAGTTTTTAATCCGGCATCTGTAATTGGAGTGTTTGGATGTACAGTATTGTGCAAAGTCTTGAATCACATCTCATTTCTTTGTATTTTTTTAAGAAAATGAGAAATTAGTTCATCTATTTAGAGGTCGCCACTGCAGGCCATTTGTTTCCATCTCACCCTGTCCCTAGCATCTTCCACTGTCAACCAACCCTCTGCATGTCCTCTGAATTCTTCCTCTTTTTCTCCTGCCTGGGAGTTCCATCTTCAGCATCATTTGTCCAATATGTCCAGCATCCCTCCTCTGCACATGTCCAAACCATCTCAGCCTTGCCTTGCCTCTCTAACCCTATCTCTAAACTGCTCAGCATGCTCATATCTAATCCTGTCTAACTTTGTCACTCCCAGTGAAAATCTTAGCATCTTCAACTCTGCCACATCCAGGTATGCCTCTTATGTTTTTGTCTTAAAACTCTACATCACAGCAGGTCTCACTACCATCTTAAAAAATGTCCCTTTCACGTTTCAGGCTGTCCTTCTGTCACTCGTCTCTACCCAGCCTGCACTCTCTGCTAGTTATCTGTCGTTTTTGATGATCTTGCCCTGGTCTTTTAACTTGTCCACCTTCATGACCTCTATTTCTTGCATCTTCACTGTTACACATGTCCCCCTCTCATTCACACACATGTATTCTGTCCTCCACCTCTCCGGGCTCTCTTCCACACACTCTCACTACAGATCACAGTGTTATCTGAAAACACCATTGTCCATGAGAATCCTGCCTAAACTCATCTTTCACCACTGGAAACAAAAAGGGAGTCAGATGTAATCCAGTCACCACATTAAACCTATCTGTGCCTCTTACCGCACACCCCACCACAGTCTCTGTGTCCTCATTCATGTCCTGGACATCTTCACATACTTCTGTCCATATGTCCATACTATATGCTTTCTCTAGAGCCAAATAGACACAGTGCAACACCTTCTGACCTTCTAGATGCTTCTCCATTGTGGTGCAAAAATACTATTTTATATCTGTCAATCTGTTTTATCTTTGGCATTTCTTTGTAGATTCAATTCAATAAATGGGGATAAATTATGCTCTTGCAACAGGCTGCAAGTAACAATTCAAAATTAGTTGTGTTAGATGTCTTTCTTTGCCCTGAAAATGGTCAGGTGGAAGGATAGAAATGAGTGAAGAAGCAGCCAATGTCCAAAGAAAAACTTAAGACTTAAGTCTTTCAGAAAGCCTGGAGAACTATTGCTCAAGATCACTACATCATTGCAAAAGTCTGGCTCCTTGGAAGAAAAACTTAAAGAAATTAGGGGTCACTGAAGACTTTTGCATAGTACGTAGTACCAGCCTCAATCTTTCCTGAGTGTAAAATATTGACTAAACTGTTTTTTGGTTTTCTTCCAAAAGGATCTTCAAAGGCAAATGGCACATCTTCAGGGGAGGAGAAGAATAAAGAAATGACTGAATTGCTGATGAATGTAAACAATCCACAGAACACAGAAAAGATCGGCAGAAAACAGTGGAAAAACAAAATGAAGAACAAGAGGAAATGTAAAAATAAATACCGCCAGAAACAGCCTGAGGAGGAAGTAAATAAAGTAAAGTCTGTGGGTAAACATGAACTAAAGGAAGTAGTTAAACCTGATTCACATAGCAACAGCAACACTGGCAAAAACAAACAAAAAAAGAAAAATGAGAAACACCCTGAGGAGGCGAGTAATGAGAAAGAAACAAAGTGTGTCCCAGTTCAGAAATGTGTGCCTGAATCTTCTGCTGATGGATCAGAACAGAAAACACGTGAACCTGCAGTGGAGATTAAAGTGAATCAGCAGCAGTTCCCCATGAAAAGACTGAAACCTGAGCAGAGTCTGAAAAGACAGAAGCTGCAGAGGATGCTGCACAGCGAGGAGACAGAGCCCCACGAGACTCCTGCAGAGCAGGAAGATAAGCCAGCAGAGGAAGAGGTGAAACAAGACCGCTCTGCCTCCCTCAGGTCCCGGATGGAGCAGCGGTTGGAGGCCGCTCGTTTCCGCTACATTAACGAAGTTTTGTACAGCACGTCCAGCGGCGAGGCGAAGCGTATGTTCAAGCAGGACCCACAGGCTTTCTGGATCTACCACAAAGGTTACACGGCTCAGGTTCAGAGGTGGCCCGCCAATCCAGTGGACGCCATCATCTCTTATATTCAGAAAAAGTGAGAAGCCTTCAATTTTCTGTGATGTTAATGCATGAAATAGAATTTTGCCCACAACCAAGGAATCTTCATGATTACAAATTTATAAAATTGTGTCAAATTTTTCAAATGTGTATGCCTATAGCTGGCATACACCTTTTAACCTTTGGGCCAGTAGAAGCTGTGATATGACTGTGAAACAATCAGGTAATATATCCATGAAGTATAAACACTGAAATGTTTTAGAATACAAATAGTTCCAAAGAGCACAGCTGGGAATATCCATTTATTTAAACTGCTTTAGCATTAATTGAATTGGGGGTTGGAGCATAGACCACTTAAAGTGCTCTCTGGTCAAGAAAGTGTGAGACCGCCTGATAATGGCTTTGCTATAACAATCCTTGGGCAGCGTTTCAAACAGAAACAATTAACCTGATGATAACAAAGCCCACCTCTTTAAGACAAGTTCATGTGATGAAAAAGTCCCTTGGAGGCAGGGAAAAGCTCCAGAAAGCTGAACAGGACCTCTGAGCACAAAAGGTTTAAAATTAAATCTTAAATGTCTGCACTGCAGTGTGTTGTCTGACCGAATAGGTTGGTTTGTCAAACTGTGCACTGATGGAATTGTGCTTTAAGATCTTTTCATCACAGGATGATCTTTAAAGTGGGTCTTTGATGCTCATTTCCACCTCCATACTTTTTCTTGGACTTTACTAGAGTTGCTTTGCCTGATTCACCCTTCAAAATAATACTTTTGATTTTAGCCCCTCTGTTCGTCACCTGTCTAAACAAACTATTTTATCTCCTTTCCCTTTAAACCAACTTTCTTCTGAATTGCAAACCATCTTAAGCACAAGGACTGGACAGCAAGGCTGTGATTTTCACAGAGCTGTGTGCCATTAAACAATGTGACATTGTGCATATATAAAAAAGAGAATAGGGAGGGGTTTCTGTCATTATTAGGCATCATATTCACACTAATGGAAATCCTCAGTTGGGTTCCTGTTTGCATAGAGCATGCAGTAGGGTTGGGACACCCACTGGCTCACCATAAATTCACCTGCAGCAGAGATCACATCTGCTTCATTTGCTTCAAACGTTTGTGTTCTCACACGCACTTGTGTTTGGTAATGTCTGGAAAAAGTTCAATGTTTGCAGTGCATGTGTAAAACTGCTTAAGACAGGAGATTCTTAATCACCTCAGCTCAACATCTGAACGATTCATCATATTTTGAGCAGAAAGCACGGTGTGCTGTGTACACTGTTACTTTCAGACTCTTCCCAAAACATTTCCAGACCGTCTCTGTTCAACTCAAGAGTAAGAAGGAATTCTTCATGTAGAACTCCGGATGCTGACATCATTTATCTGCTGTAAACGGTAAACAGAAGACATTACTCTGCTGCACACTCCCGACAGCGAGGACTCACGCAGCTGATAATTTTGCACTGTGGGTGTTTAATCGATGCCTGGTTTTGCTGCTGTGAGAAGTTTGCCTCGTTAACATCAGCGGTTTGTCAGAAGACAACAGTTCTGACTAAAAGAAACACATCTACTGTACTGTTTTCTTTTTGCAGACCTTCCTCTCTCGTGGTTGCCGACTTTGGTTGTGGTGACTGTAAAATAGCGCGCAGCGTGAAGAACAAAGTTCATAGCTTTGACCTGGCAGCCACCTGTGAGCTGGTTACGGTCTGTGACATGGCCCACGTGAGTGTCTTTCTGCAAAATACACACACAATTGCACTGCGATTGTCGTAAAATGGAACTAAAATGAAACGCCCCGTGTCTGCAGGTGCCTCTTAATGACGCCTCTGTGGACCTCGCCGTGTTTTGCCTGTCCCTCATGGGGACCAATCTGGCGGACTTTTTAGCAGAGGCCAATCGAGTGCTAAAAAAGAGGTGTGACAAGGATTCTGCATATGCATGTGTTTAATGTCGTGCACACACTGTGTTTCTCATTGTTTTTTGGCACCTTTGTTGCAGAGGAGTCCTTAAAATAGCAGAAGTGGCAAGCAGATTCGACAACGTGCGAAACTTCATCACTGCACTGTCAAGTCTTGGATTCAAGATGGTGTCGAAGGTGAGAAAAAGGGGTGATGCTTGGGACCATGTTTACAGGAAAACAAGTACTTCTTCCTTCTTTGAAAAAATTAAAGCATGTCACAGTTATAAGATGAAGGTCTGAATTAAACATGTAAATATATAATATTTACTGTGTTCAGGTGTATTTTCTTTCTTTTGTCGTTGTCCTTTTTAAGAGCCTGTTGCTGAAAAATGCTTAATAAATTTGTCACAAGTAGATCAATGTCGTCTAAACAACTGAGTCTGAAGAACACTTGGACCACGTGATGAGTAATAGCTTAAACATTCATGTTTGTCTGCTAGAATTACTGTTATTTTGTCTTTTTCTTCCTTTCAGGACACAGAAAATAGTCATTTCTACTCCTTTGAATTTGCGAAGACGGGAAAGACTCCAGAAAATCTGAAGAAAGTTGGACTACAGTTGAAGCCTTGTCTTTACAAGAAGAGATGAAGATGTAATAGGAATTCATAAACTTCTCTGTGCATCAGTACATAACTGGACAATGCTTCACGGGGTCACAGTTAATATACACTTAAATGTATCATATTTTTTGGTATATTTTTGATTATTCCTTTTGCATTTTGTTATAGATATGTGATTTTTTTTTCATGTAACAGAGGTCTGTTAGTCTGTATCATCAGTATCAACATGGACGCACATTTTCTCATCACACAATGCACAGATCATTGATTGTATTGTTTACTCAAATACTGTAAATAAGAAATGTTTTTACAGTCCTGGAGTAAGTCACTGCGTTGGGTACAAAATCAAAAATGAAACTCGAGGCTGCTTGGTGACAGAGTTTTCTAAGAGAACTCTGTAAGTGCTACAATTGCTGTGGGAAAACCTTTAAAAGTCTTTAAAAATATAAACTTTTAAAAATAACTGTGTGTGATGTCTGTGATCCTTCAGACCCAACATGTCGTTCCCTAACCCTGTTACAATTACTCTATATGAACAAACAACTGACTCCATAATTATTTTCCACAACAGTGCTGCAGAGAAGCTGCAGTTCAGTCTATTTACATCTGAATCACACATAGTACAGAAATGTATTTATAGCTTCACTCCTTTTGTCGTAGCAGATGGTCCTGACTAATTAAGCATTGCAAAGACACTAGAAGGACTTTTTTCATGTTGGAGCAGTGTGACAGTCATCAGTATGTGGGACTGTTTGCTGTGCTTGTAATGAGTTTGTTAAAACTAAGAAGTTAAAGATGAAAGATATTTACTTTGGAATCACTTTATTGACAGATCAAAAAAATATACATCTGAAAATAAACTGAAATAATGAAAAATTCAAGTAAGATTTAGTTTTTTTCTAAAAGTGCAAATTTTATGCATTTGAATAAAAAAGCCAGCAGGTGCCCCAAACTGCAGTTCCTAAGTGCTTCAAAAGTGAGTGACTCATGTTGAAATATTTACAGGATGGTGAAAAAGAAAAACAGTTTTGATTTCTATGGATGCTTTCCCCTTTCATAACAACTCAAGGGTGGATGCATTTTGTATTTAATTTGGTATTTAATTATTTTAAATAAGTCATCCATCTTATTACGTTGTGTGGGTCTGCAGACATAGTTGTAACCTGTTCTGTCACAGAACTGGACTTTTTGTGCTGTCTAGAATTATGGCCTGATAAAAAGATACTATTAGCTGCCCCCTTGTTCTCTAAGGCAGGTGCTTTAATTTTCCCATAGGGGTTTGTGTCTCCTGCAGGAGCCTAGTATTATGGCCTAATGAGTATTTTATTAGTCTGTGACTTACTGCTAATTACCAGATATATTACAATTTATGAATATGAATAGTTTGTTAGCACTCCACCCTCTAGTACAAATATGTGAGGTCATGGCTCAAAAAGCACAGAGGCTTCAGAATGTGGAGTCTAGTATCAAGGGGTGACTACGTACATCCTTTATACAGTCTTTAGTTTAAACAGTAAAGTCATCAATGCTAATCTGCTCAAAATCTCACATTATTCAGGATATATACATACACAGTTTTTTACTTCAATGCTACAGAAAAACAAAACACTTGGAAAAAAAGAGTGCTACAGTTCCACTAAGATGCCACACCTAGTTTGTGCACAACTGGATGTGGTTTAAAAAGCCCCGCAAAGCATTGTTGTCTTCACACTGTACTCTTGACATCAATGACTATGGAGTAATTAACCATAGGAGTGCCCTCTTTGCTGTCTTTTTCTGTTACTGCTGGCTTTTTCACCTCAGGGGAGCCGGGGTCCTGCATGAGGGATGTCAAGGCTGAGAGATACTCCTCCTGAATTATACGGAGACAGATGGAGATACGGAGGAAAAGAGTTCAATTTAGTTTTGGATTTGAGACACTTAGCAAAGCTGGAGAAAATTATCATATTTAAATGTACCTTGTGCTCTTTCCTGCTGTTTCTTTGACTATAAAACAAAAAACAGAGGTTGATGGTGAATTATCTCAGTCTGGTATGGCAACCTGACTGTGGCAAACAGGAACAAACTGGACAAGATTGTCAGAACAGCTGGAAAAATCTCATTAGATAAACTGTATCACACTACTGCCTTACAGAGAGCTCAGTCTATTGCTGACTAAGAACGCCCTCTTTAATCAGATTTGATCAAATGGCCCCAGGACAACATTATAGGATGCATTTTGTGCCAAATCCAATTAGTATGCTGTGATGTGATTTCTGTAGTTTTGCTAATGTTTTATGTATGTATATGAATGAATGACTCTTGATGACTATCAGTATTTTTTTTATATAAATTGATTTGTGACTTGGTGAACCAAAGACAATTATTCAGTTCAATTTAAATAAACCCGTTTTAAATTTTTTTTGAGAGATTTCACCACTAGATGGCACTGTGACATAACTGGCCACACCGAGTCAATTCAAATAAGCAAGCTGCAGAGGTGAATGCATTATATGTGACGGGAATATCAATGAATACGAGTGGTGACCCAAGCCTTCATCATTGATCTCTGGTGTCAAAAGCAGACGCTCACTTTGTACACTGCGACCTCAGTGACACAAACCCAGTGATGTCCTGCTGCTGACAAAAAAAATGTCCCCATGCAGCACTGGAGATGAGGGAAAGAGGAGTGGGGGGTTGACATTAGTCCCAAAATAACTTTCCTCTGTGGGGAGTCATGTTTTCTTGTTGTTCACTGGGTGCCTGACCTTCCCAAATTAACTTGACAGGACCCTCCCACTGGAGCATGGGATAACGCGCCTAGACTCCGTCAGCCAATGGCACCTTCACCAAATGTTCCGGTCAGAGTGACAGGCGTATTGAAATAACCTGTAAACCACTCTTGTGCAGCTCTATTCACAGCGGGGCTTGATCTGATCCTGACAGACATTCTTGTGAGAAGTTAGATTTGGCAGTGAATGTGGAAATGTGGAAGCTTCTGGAGGCAGAAACCATTAACAGTTCTAGGACTGTGAAAGATATCCCACATCAGTACTAAAAGATGTGACTCTTTCTCCAACAGCAACAGGATTAAGAGATGAATTTGTGGATTTTTTTCCACTGGTGAATGGCAACTTGAATTTTATTATACTAATAACTTCCGAACATGTGGACCTTCTGCACATTTCACCTTCCCTTTTGCAAAGTGTCGGTGATGATAATTGGCCAGCGAACAGCAGTCTGCTGCACAAATTGCCAGAAGTAACACCGCTAAAAGCCAGAACAGGAAACTGGAAAATAAATCTGTTTTTCTGACTGCCTAACAGCCTCTACCTGTCTGCAAGCAGGGCTGTGGTGGCAGAGGCACCTGTCTGCTTCAGCCACATTACTTCCTGTTTGTGAATAACAGCTTGGTACTGGGGTTTTGGTTAGTTGGGTTAACGATCCACACATCCTGTTTGTCTAGTACTCTCTGTACACTCTGTGCCATCGGCAACATTGCCCTCATTTGCCCGTCAGCGCATCACCTGCCGAGTTGCTGTTTGTCACCTGTGGAAGCGCTTAACTCACCAGCACACACAGAGGATGATGACAGAGATAAGAACGAGGGCTAATGCTGAAGAGATGCAAATCATGGATGTGAGAGCTGCAACACAAAGCACACAAAGAAACTGATATCAGTGAAACTGGTTACGCACGTAAGCATGCCGATATTATCAGGAGCTCTCTGTTGTGTCATGTTCCTCTGAGTGCAAAAGCCCATCATGGCAGACACGTACCGAGCTGTTCAAGCCTAGTTGTGACTTCCACCTGAAAGCTGACTGTAGCAGTGTGGTGACAGAAGGATGCCCAGCAGGTGTACAGGCCTTTGTTCAGCTCTGCAAGCTCTGACTGGAAGATCATCGCAGATCCCTCCGTTTGCACAAATGAGCCATCACTCCTGAAATACCAGGGATTTACAACTGAGTTTCTCTTTAAGTGACATTTTTGGGGAAATATAGCCATGTGCTGTATTGCTGAGGGTTAAAAATAAAACTCTAATCACTCTAATGTCTGTACAGTAAATAGGAGGCTGTAGGTAACTGGCTTAACTTTGCTTACAGAGTGGAAGCAGGGAAAGAGCTAAGCTGGCTCTGCACCACTATCCCTAAAGCTCACTTTAACACTTCACATTGTGCCAAAAACCCCAAAACAAAACCAAAAGTGTAGAAGTTTCCATTATAGACATTACATGCCAGATCATTTCTTAGCTGGTAAAATCATCTGAAAGACTGAAAACAGGTGGAAAGTTGGTTAAGAAATCTCTGCACATTACTCTGCATTACAAAAGTTGTTCACACGTGGTTACAAAAAATCAACAAAAAATGTACAAATGGACAGAACCAGGGTAATTATTTGCCTTTATTTAAACGGTAAAATACCCCCTAATAAATCGTGCTCTATGACAATGTGTTGCTTCTTCTACTTCCTCTACTACTGTGGGAACACTCAATTTTGTGTGTTCACAGGAACTTCCTGATCATGATTAGGTGGTAGATAACAGATATACCTCCTGCCAGCTGAGACTATAATTGGACAGGCTACTGTTTTTTTGACAACAGTAGGAAAGTTAATGCACCTGGTACTAAAGGTACTGTTTTTAGTTGTTTGCCTGCTCCCAGATAAAGCAAAGTTAAACTGTCTCCTTGCTGTTGTTGGCTATTGCACTAAGCTCTTTATGTAAATAACTCAACTGATATTTTCAGAGAGCTACTTCTTAATTGTGGGAGCACAGATTTTTGTGCAGTGCACTATGTTCAGCTTCCTCATTGTGAACAGGTGGTTTGAAACACCGGATACAGCACCTCTTACAGCTGAGCTCGTACTCTGGCACGTTGCCTTCAATTTCGAGCAGTATTTTCTGGTTGTGACGATTCTTGTCGAGGGACAGTCTGTATACAACAGGTTGATCGCTGTAGCGGCTTTGCAGAGGAGTCGTGAAGTTCAGGACTCTCAGAGAAGAGATATCTGGCAAAAAAACAGTAAAAATATTTAAGATGAACTTTGTGCGTTAGTGTTCAATCGAGTATTGTTTCTGTTGCTCTTACAGTATCTGGGCATATGAACAGTCCTTCTCTGTGTGACCCCTGGTTCAAAATGGTACACACAAGTCAGGTTTTGCCCCTCATGACGGTTCAGCGGAAATTCATAAGTCGCCCTGAGATTCATTGAGTTTCTTTCATATTCTGAGTGCACAGAGGTTTGCCTTTCGTTTTTTTCGGGAAGGTCCCATGCAAGGTTTGTCTCGAAACACTCCCCTGTGCACTCGCACACTGCCAGCCAGAGATGAGAGTCTTGTTGTCTCACCACAGATGCGCTCAGCAGGGGGGCTTCTGAAAAAGAAAAGGGGGTGTCAGGAAGGGGATGAGCAACCGCGTGAGGTTGTCTGTGTCATAGAAGGTAATATTTCTAAGAAATGACTAGCGTACTGTGCACAGGGATGTTTATTATTCTTTCCTCTTCTGCCTCCAGGCTCGGATGCTTTACTATGCAAGTCAAATTCTGACCGGCATAGAGAGAGGACAGGAAGTGCACAGAGCTGCGAGCGAATACCAGACCATCAGCCTGCTGTTTGGTCTCCACCAGGCTATCGATGCTGTTGTTGGTGTTCCTTACGTGCCAGGTTATAACTGCTGCCGGAGGGGCGCTGTCCACAGAGCATTGCACCTTTGTGTACTTCAGACCTTGTCTCCACTCAGTGCTGGTGTTGACGGTGATGTTAGGGTGAGCTGTGCAGGAAAGAGAAGTTAAACAACAGGAAGTGGACGGATTCCACTTGATGAAAAAAATTAAATCTATGGCCACATATATCCGCTACTGATAAGAAATTAGGGTTGGTTGATTTGTTGAACATACCACAAAGAGGGAGTGTTATGCTTCTGTTCTCTGGTTTTTCAAATGCTTGGTGATTTATCACACACTCTGCAGTGAGCTCCCAAGGCAAGCAGGGAGGGAGGAGTACAAACCCCCTGACAGAGTGGCTTCCATTATGAGAAGTGGAGTTGAACCAAAAGTCTTCAGACACACCCTCTGGTAGAAGCCAGGACATGTTGGCTGCAGGAACAGCATCATCTGCTGAGCACTCAATCACTCTGCGTCCATCTTCAGTCCGCAAATCAACTCGTATTGTAGGAGGAACTGATGGGAAACGTATAGAGAGAAGAGTTCACATCAATATTTCATAGTCAGATGATAGAGAAGGTCAAAGCAGAGTTTCACCTACCTTGTTGTATAGGTTTAACAGTGACATTGAACCGCAGCACTGCTCTAAGGTGCTGATAAGAGAAGGTGCATTTGTAAAGACCAGCGTGTTGAAGATCCACAGGGCCCTGGAGTCTAAGGCTCTTGTCCACCAGCTTCACACTCTCAGGCAAGGGGCCATCATCTCTGGAGGGCAAATATGCAAAATATGCAGGAATTCAGAAATGTTTTCATTTGTCTTAATATAAGAATAGAAAAGGAAAACAAAGCTTGAATAAATAAACATTTGAATCAGAAAATGTATCTAAATATGGTTCCTGCTTACAGTCACTTGTGGTTTTTATGCCACCAAATATGCCACCACTGAAACTACCTACATATCCTGTGGAGGATGTGTATATTCTTTCTCTGTATATATACATGAAAAAAGTGTGACTGAAGCTTGTTTTTATTTTTGTAAAAGCATATTATTTTTGCAGGTACTGTTCATTTTTGCTCCTTTTCTTTTGGTTATGTGGTTAGTTTCCCAAATATCTGAACCAGCCCATCCAGCACCAACAAATGTTTCTTTGCAGGTTACTCGACCATGACCTAAATTCACTCAGTTGCTGATTAGATATTTGCACTGATTCACAGTTGAACAACTGCACCTAATACGGTAAAATAGGGAAATCAAACACAGTACGAGCACTTACTGATGAATGTACTTCTTATTTTGTCATTAATGGGCAATTTCCCCATACTTTTTTAATAAGTCATTTTTATCTGTCTTGCACATTATTTTCCATTATTTGTGCACAATAATGGAGTGGACTTACTTTGTATCAGATTCTCAACCTTAACCTTCCCTAACATGATGAATTTCATCATCATGCCAGCTCATAACGCAGTCTGTCTGTTACAATTATCATTTTTAGAGTTCGAACGCTTCTACAATATATGAAATTGATGTAGTAGCCCTTTGACACCAAATATTTCCTACTTTTTGCAGATAACATTGTAGCGTGGCACATTCCCTTCGACCTCGAGTCTGATAACAGCTTCAGTCTCCTCTTCCTGCAGCTCCACGTCATTGCTGTTCCCTTCCAAGTCTGAGTACAACTGACCTGGAGCCAAATCTGTAGATTTAAAAAAACAAAAACAAACTCTGTTCCTCTGTTACCTCTTGAGCATTAGCAGTTTATTCAACACTGATTGTACTCACAGAAAACTGGCAGTGTTAGGGCTTGTGACTCCTTTTGTGTAAATTTAGGATGGTCAAACACACAAGTGATGTTGTGACCCCCGTATTCTGTTACGGGGAGGCGGACTGAGACTCTTTGTATGTCTGAGTCTGTGTCGTTCTCTCTCGCCAGCTCTTCAGCCGTGTTCAAAGCCAAAGAGATGTCAGTGTCAGGTCTCCCTCCAGATGAAATGCAAGAGACCACCCAGAAATCATTTCCGTCTTCTTGCTGTACCATCTCTGCTTTAATAGTCACATTTGGCCTTGCTGCAGAGCAGGAAGAAGGGCGAGAAGAGTTATTTTTCACAAGCTCTAATGTTTTTTCCAGCAAATTAAAAAGTCAGATAGCAAGTAGAGGCTCAGGGTGTTTTGGTTAAATAGGAAGCTGGGGCCGGATGAGCTGAATGTTAGCTAAACACACGCCATGAGGAGCTTCTGCTTGGGTTTGGAGAGTGCTGACTTAGGCTTATCACCTGTCCCATCTGTTGGCTGAGCTGCAGCTGAGAGCAGATGTCTGGCCCAGCTGCTACCCAACCAAAGCTGAGAGAACCGCAGGCTTTAATACGAGGAATCAGCATAGATCAGAGTCTATTATCAAATACGTAAAAGTTTTGGTGTTACGCAACAGTCAAATGCCTCTAATGAGCAAGTGGGTTAACACCTCATAATAAATTGGGTGCTGGACAGGGGTGTGCACACATTTGGAGTGAGTTAATGCTCTTTGGCTTTAAAAAAAGTTCAATCTGTTTACACATAAAGTTATGTCTGCATTTAACCACTGCAGTTTGAAAATGACCTAAGCTGCTGTGCTTCAGTGAAGTGGAAATGTATTATGGACAAATGAACTGGGTGGTGTGGCTTACGTTAATAGGACTGTTACTAGGTCTGCCACTGAAAGAGCAGTAAGAGGCTGTAATGCTGTACATATTAGTATGATTGTATGAAGAGAGCATTTAAAGCTTTATTACCAAACATATACAGTGGTGTAAAAAAGTGCTTGCCCCCTGATTTCCGATCGCCTACTTTTTGTATGTTTTTCACACTTCAATCAGATCATCAAACAAAAATAATACAAGTAAACACAAAATGCAGTTTCTAAATGAAGGTTTTTATTATTAAGGGGAAAAACAATCCAGAACTACATGTCCATGTGTGAAAAACTAATTACCCCCTAAACCTAAACCTAACTGATTGGTCCACACTTAACAGCAACAACTAAGATCAAGCATTTGTCATAACTGGCAATGAGTCTTTTACAGCCATGTGCAGGAAATTTGACTCTCCCATCTTTGCAAAATTGTTCTAATTCAGCCACGTTGGAGGGTTTTCAAGCATGAACTGCCTTTTTAAGATCATGCCAAGGCATCTCAATCGGATTCAGGTCAGGACTTTGACTAGGCCACTCCAAAGTCTTCATTTTGTTTTTCTTAAGATCTTCAGAGGTGGACCTCGTGTGTTTTGAATCATTGTCCTGCTGCAGAACCCAAGTGCACTTCAGCTTGAGGTCACAAGCAGATGGCCCGACATTCTGTGGTGAATGAATGTGGTCATTTACCACAGCAAGTTCCAGATTCTGACGCAGCAAAACAGCCCCAGATCATCACACTACCACCACCATATTATACTGACTGTTTTCTTGGGTTTTCACTTTAAATTTGTGTGATTCATTTTTGAATTTGCATCTTCGGTCAGTGAAATTCATGGACTACATGGTGTTTTAAATAGCCAGCAAGAGCCACTAATATAGATGCAAAAATATGCTGATCGACATACAGCTTCATTTAGACTTCTGTGTTCATATGTAGTAATCAGAAACTCCTTTTATCTCTACACCACAACCTGCTGTGTAATTCAAGTTGTTGTGACGGAGTTCTGGTTATGGGATAAGTTATGAAGTAGGACGTAGTTATGACGTAGTTATGAAGTTATGACGTAGAGCTGATTTGGTTGTAAAAGTCAGGCAAAAATGGCCCACAGCTCCCCTGCTCTATGACCGCATGAAAATCTGTAATTTTAAGTCTTACTGAATAAAAATTAAATGCATTTAGCTTTTATCTTTCTATGTTAGGATTTGAAGTGGAAAAAGCAGGTTTAGGTTGCTTCGAGCTTGTCATGTCTCTGATCAGTGTGATCACCACCATCATTGTAAACAGATGGATGGCAGATCATCGGATTCAGCAACTGTTCCTACACTACATATGACGACAGTCCATGTACTAAGGGTATTTATTTGCTGGGAAGAGAGCAAGGAGCTAAGATTTATTAAGTTAGCAATGACATGTACATGACATGATGAAATTTTCCATCCTGAGTGAAAGAAAACTTTTATAGTATGAGAAATCTTTCTTGCTTTGGTCCAATACCAGTAGAGCTAAAACATCTAGGTGTAGTTAATGATCCGACGTCCTGCCTTTGCCTGTGAATACTGACAGTGTGAGGGGTCTCGTCATGGTAACCACGCTTTCATGACAGTCAGTGCAAAGTTGCTGAGGTATAATGTTTGTTTGCTTTGCTCATTATCATTACTGACTCTATAACAGTGTCAATGAGGGTTGTGCTAAAGAGTGAGTCTTTGCAGGTGCACTAAATTACAGTGTGGATGGTTTTATATTGATGTTTGCTGTATTAATCTGTCTTTCCTGTGAGCTCGGGGTTTCTGTATGTGTGTTTAGCCTATATTTTCATCTGAAATGTTTTTTTTATTATTATGCTTTCATAGACCAAGATTATATTTTATATATATGTTTTTTAATATTTTTTTTTTTAAGTTTTTAACTTACAATCATGAAAAACGAACTTATCATTTTATCAGCTCTGTAATAACTCAGAGTGCTGCTCTGCTCGTGTTGGTCATCCGCACTGCACCCTCTAAATGCAACATGTTCCTGCAGCTCTGCAGTGCTGTGGATAAAACAGAAAGGTGCTGCCCTAAAAAAAACAACAACAAAAAAAAAAAACCATATCATGACCCAAATGCTAAAATGCTCAGTGGACCTGGGAAGAGCTGCAGAGTCAGGTAAAGTACGGACTCGTTACTTTGACCCCCCGTCCTGCGCTTTTTATATCAAGATATTGGTTATAGCAGCTTTAACGATTTGATGAAATCTATGAAACAAAATATCGTGATTAACTGGGATGCTGGATTTTTAGCTTTAATGTTATGCAGTCGGATTTTCACCAGGTCAACAGATGCAGGTGCGCATCTTTTGACCTGCTAGACTTGAGCCATTAAACTGTACACTGCACCATATTACAGTACTGTTATTAATTAGTTACTGGGTCGTTGCTTCATTTTTGCTTCCATATACTCAGCTTCAATGGAAGAGCGCATTCCCACATGAATGCATAGCACTGTGCAACGTGATTTATGGTCTGTCACTGTGCATGTGGAGCAGAGTGAGAAGGAACAGGCTGCATAAAAACTCAGCAGGAGAAAGTTATTGTGTTGCAAGATGCTGAGTCATGATGCATGATTGCAAACGTATGAGTGGTAATGCAACACAATATGTCACCACCTAGCAACAGGGACATAAAAACACAACAACTCTGATGCTCTTACTGTAGGTTTCCACCCTAACTGTGGTGACCGCGGGCTGTGGGAGGGTCCGGTGTTCAACCACACAGGTCACGTTGTCCTCCTCCTGCAAGTGGGTGGGAAAGCGGAGGACGCTGCTGACGGTGAAGGTGTCATTTGAAGGAAGGGTGTTATTCACAACCTCGATGAAGGGGAAATCTGAAGGAGGATACCCATTCACCAACCAGCTGATCTGGGGCTCAGGCCTGCCATTGATGGCAGAGCATAACACAGACTGATAGTGAGTCCCATTTATGGTCTCTGCATTCAGAGTGATGTTGATTTCTGGTTGAACTGTGAACAAATTGAAAAATAAACACGTTGAGTGACATAGGCATGTCTCAGGATAATAATGCATCTGTTTAATTAAAATCTGGTGGTGCATCAGTTAACACCTTTTAATTTTAGAACTGTTTGTGGCAACTTCATCGGGCTTATTTGTTCTCACAGAGGTGAGTCGATTATAGAAAAGAAATCACATGTTATTGGCGTAGCTTACCTACTACAGTGACGATTACAGTGCCAGTGTAAGTATCTTCAAGTGATTCAAACTCACAGGTGTATTGTCCTTCTACTTCCACACCGGTCACCCTAATCTGAATTGTGAGGTTGGTGAGAGAAACTGGGGGTGAAAAGTTATCTCTTTGAAATGGTTTCCCATTGATAAATCCTGCCAGTCGCTTTTTTTTTTTTGAACTGATCTGTTGTTTCCACTCGCTGCTGTCAACAGGATCGTCACCCAGATAGATACAGCTCAGATACATGTCCTTTCCCAGGACTGCTGTGATGCTCTCAAAAGGCTCTTCACTCGAACCTAATGAGAGATCAGAAGTTCAGCTCAGAGATCTTGAAACTGAAAACATTGAGAAAGCAGAAATGCCTTGAGGGGGAATGGGTTTGATGAGAGGACTGGGCACAGGGGGATAGATGCTACTTGTTGTGTTGACTCAGCCTATTGTCTGCCGCTAGTTAAGTAAAACTGTGATCAAAGAGGTAGACTAACTAGGTCAGTAGTGATAAACTCCTCAGTCATTTCTCAATTAAAAAAAGACATAAAATCGTATAAAAATAAGGCTAAAACAGACAAACAGACTATATTTAATTTGTTACAAGTAAAAGTAACTGAAAAGAAAACTGGATGAAAATGGAAAGTTTAAGGCTCGGTTTGAAACAGAGGAGGCAGACTGCGTCGACAACGAGCAAGCTTCCTTTTTTTTAATCCACAAAGTAACACAATCCAACAGGAAAATCCAAAAATACAAGAAGTGAGGAAACAGGAGAACACGAAGAGTTTCAGAGGGCAACACACAGGGAAGCATACACAGGGAATGTGACAATGATGAAGACGGGACTATTTATACACCGAGGGCTGACGGCAGAATGAAAAACAGGATGAGAATGAGACACAGGTAAAAGTAATTAACACAGGTGAAGACAGTCAGAGACGGGAAGTGAAACTAATACATCACATGAAAGATAACCAGACCTCAAAGGAAGTAGCCAAAAGAGAAAGAATAACAGGGAGGAGAAGACTCTCAGGCACAGAAAGATGACAGAGGAAACTATAAGTCACCCATAAAATAAACACAGAAATTAAAGACTCATTCGTAATAATATCACCAGAAGCAAAGCTCACAGTCTAGAATAATAAAGAAATTAAAACAGTATTCCCAGAATTTAACAGGCCCTAAACTGAAACCCCAAACCCTAGGATCATAATATTTTTAAAATAAAAGATCAATAAAAGATTAAGCGAATTAATTGTCTTCACTTTGTAAAATTCTGGTAAATTATTTGTTTTTTACAGAGAAAAAGCAAAAGACAAGAGGTTAACTTGCACACAATGACAGTAATAAATAAATGCAGCCTTGTCTCCTGCCTGTGTATCTGATGGAGGACTCCATTATGTTAATGAAATGAAAACCATCCAAAATAAGATCCACACCCAGACAGGGTCCTCTGCACTGTTTAGAAATCAGCCACAGTTAGGGCATTTCACAGGAGAGGCATTTAATATAGGCTGGCAGGTTTTAGCACTCTCAGAGAGGACAGTGTGCAGACTTTAATGCATACCAAGTCCCCTTCTCTCTCTGCTTCCTCCCCAGACTTCATCAAAGTGCACTTAAGGACACAGCTTGCTCTACCAGTCAGCTGGAGCCAAGAACCTCTATTCAGCTTAAGGTACATGATGAGTAAAATGACGACAGCTTACTGCTGCACTACTTCATTGAAAACCTCTTAATATGCAGCCGGCTGCTGCAGTCTAAACTGTTTGCATCAAGCACTGTTAATGCTGTTGGTCTTACTATACATCACAGCAAATGGAAACAATGTGGAGAGGCTCCAGAGCCTTTTAAGAGGAAGAGAAAGCAAGAAAGAGAAATAAATATGCTATATCAGTTCAATTATGCCTGGTGGGCTCGTAATTCATTTGCCCTTGCAGGTTAGTGCCAAAATAAATGTCAGCCAAGAATGGAGAAGGCACACCTTAAGGATACAAACTAAGTAATAACTGTGAAAGAAAAATCACACATTCTTCTACTGCATCATATTTCCCGAGTCCCAGGGGCTTCTTTTTCTCACCAGACAGCAACAATGCACCAGTGGCACAAAGCACACCTTCCTCTGCAGACTAGGGATGTGGTAAACAAATAAAGACTTTCGACTTTAGAAAATGAAGCTCTTTCACACGTTTAAACTTTCATCTCCAGCTGGAAGTCTCAGTGACTCTGCAGAATGAAGGACTGCACCAAATCAAAGGGAAGAATCTTTAAATAAGTACAGCCAGGAGAGGGTTTTCCCCAAATGTTAAAGACCTCATATATTAGTTTTAAAAGCCTGTAAAAAAAAAATGCAGTGGTCACACCGAGGAAGCGCATATGATTCCTAATAAAGAGTTGCCTGCCAGGTTGACATTACAAACATACAATCAGGAATGTGCTGCTGAAAAATGTATTATTTAGAACTTTGTGATGCATCCAGTGTGTAGTTTTATTGCTCATTTGTAATTATAGTTGGACTAATCAGTAATGAAAGCCAGTAGCACTGCTGGGTATAAATGCCTCAGGTTAAACAAGAGCTTAAGGTCCAGTAAAATGAACACATAAACAGCTGATTGCAACAGATGGATTGTAACTCTGCAGACTTACCCAGAATTTCCAAAGAATGAGCAACATGTAAGAGAAGACCCAAAATCAACAGCCATGAGCATCCCATGGTGGTGTCATTGACTGAAGCAGAACTATAGACCAGCTGTATGCAGGGCACATGGTATTTAAAGGGTGTGTGTATTATGTGGTTTATGGTTTATGGTACACACCCTCTACAGCTGATATTCAGTTGTGTGAGCCTTGCTGCCACTTGCACACCTACAGACTGTACATGCGCGCACACACACACTCAAAAGCAACTTCTTCAGTTTGCAACAGTAGGTGTTCTCTTGTGTGTTTTGCATATGTCTTACAGTTCTGTTTTTGTCAGCATCGCTATACAGGATGCGTCTGTTCAGTTACTCAGACATATAGCACAGTATCTTGGGAAGTGGTAAAGCTATGCATCCCATCCCGCCTGGGGCCTGCAGAGACTGCCTGTCTGCGAAACAGCTCGCTATCATTCATGCCCTGCAGTTTGTGAACTCACTCACTTCTGGTCATTGTTTCGTGGCATAATGCTCCTCTAATTCATTTTGACTCTGTGTGTTTTATGTTTCTTCTTTCTTCTCTCAGCATAATTTATCACCCTACTAGGAAAAAACCCCCAAACAATTGTGGTAGAGAACAGCGAATCTTGCAGAGGCTCAGCAGTGCACAGCTTGTCAGAGGTTGCCATCTTTCTCTAAAGTTGATTCACTTTGGCACTGACTCATGTGGACCACAAGAGGAAGACAGTGAATGAAATGACCTAACCGAAAAATTTCTGTCAACACATTATTTTTTTTTGATCGTGTGGTTTGTAACGGCTGTTTTTGAATTATCCGGTATGAAACTGCCACCCATAGTGAGAACTTTTGTAGGCTATGAAACTGGCTTTACAACAAAGAAAATGGTAGATATCTTATCCTTTTTCGCTCTCTACCTCACATACTCACACACCCATACAGAGTAGTGTTTCCATTACTTCACAGGACTTTACATTTCCTGAAGACTCCACCATAGCTACTACTTGTCTAACCTGACGCTTACTCTGACCTTAAATCAAGTCCCCACCCTAAAATGGACATATTTACATTATGTAGAGGAGCTTTTAACCCCAAAAGGGAGGCAGCTCCCTGAACTATAACAGTGTAAACAGATTTATGGCAAATGAGTTAAGCTGGTTTTATGGTCCTGACTTTGTGTCTTTTTATGTAGCGCTAAGACTACTCAGAGAGAAAAAATATTGGAAATTAACCAACAGCAAAGTTATGGAGAAGAACGTCCTTGCAGTTCTATAAAGATCCCTTCACGATACGTCTTAGCTCTTAGTATTATTCTAGCTCATAGTGTCTCTTAGTATTTAGTTTTGACTCATGTCTCTGTTTGCATTTGAGTCCATTTTCCTGATTCAACCTTTGGCCGTCACAACGAGAAACCCCTTCACAACTGCCAACCAAGTGAACAACACTTTCCAGGATGTAGGCATATCAATATCAGTGTCTACACTAAAGAAGACTGCATTAAAGTAAATACAGGGGGTTTACTGCAAGGTGCAAGCCACACATAAGCCTCAGGAATAAAGAGGTAGAGTCACTACTGTGACACTACTGTTTATTGCCTGGCAGAACATTAAAAATGAGGAAGCCCAGCATCTGGTGATGTTCTTTTTTTTTTT